ACAAGAAACTACTCTGGTCTATTCAAGAAGTAGTGGGAGATAATCACAATCCAACTCCCTAAAGACTGGTGTTGCCAGAAAAATAAGGCACCTAGAAGTGAAGTGGTTGAAGTCATATGGCTATTTCAGAGGCCATGAGTGGGATCTGCTGTGCCCTTGTGAGGATTTGGAACTGCTGTATCTTTTTTTTTCAAGGCTTGACTTGCTTTCACTGGCAGGTTGACAGAGGGGGAGGAAGAAGGGAGCGTATTTTGGAAATTGTATGAAACATATTGCCTACATCAAACTCTCTTCTCTCCTCCTCCTGAGTTCTACAGAAAGAAATTACCATTTAATGTAAAACAGCCTGCTTTGATAGCTGCCTCAGTGCCCCATTAAACATTTTCCACACCTCAGGGAAGACAAATATCCAGTCGTAAATTCCAATTTGTCATGGATTTTTTAAGTCACAGGTTGACAGAAGAAGTAGTTAATACTCTCTGATCAGTATGCAATACCATTACACTCTTCAGCAGTACTCTTCAATGGACACAGCAAGAGTTAGAGAGCAGATTTGAAAAGCAAAGCACTTTGGTTTTGAACATGAGGCTCAAAGAAAAACGATAGCAGAGATTATTTCACCAACACAGCACTGAGTAATTCCCTGCTGGATGAGTGCCATTATTTGTTGTGATTGTAGTTATCACTATTCATCTTCTATTTACATACTATGTAAATGTATACCATGCTTTGCAACAGCACACTGAAAACAAAGCCCCTGCTTAGAAGAATTTTAACACTTCTGCTCCAGTAGCAAATTTAGTTCTATCAAATGTTTAACAATGGCAGCAATGTGTGCATCCTGGAATTATTTGGAACATTTACATGTGCAATCCACAACTCCACCCAAAGCTGGTGAGAGCCGGAGGGCAGTAACTGCAAAGAAAAAAATCACCCTCCCACTGTCCAAGTCCAAGATAATAATGCAGAAATGTAACTAGCCAAACAAGATTACACAGCTAGGATTGTGAACTTGTACTCTCCAGCCTTCCACGTCCATTGCTGGGTGATGGAAATGAGGGAAAGGAACAAAGGGAGGAGGCTAAGATCATCATGGGTTTGCAAGAGGTTATGTACACAAAGCAATTTTCTGTAAACTGGGCTCTAATACCTTTGTAACTTCTCTCCATTTAAATAAACTAAGAAAGAGTTCTGGCTGTGATCCAGCACTCCTAATTTAAGCACCTGCATGGAATCTAAATTCTAGGTGACCTGTAAAACTGTCCTCCTAAGTAAGTGCCTAATTTCCTCTGTATTGCCAAATGGGAGAGGTATCCTTAAAGGCCTCCAGAGAGGTCCTATGAACTTCTCTTGGTTAAAAAAATACTTCCCTCTTTGTCTGTCAAGACCCTGACTACTCTTACAGGGAGACCTGCAAACTCCATCACAGAGCAGCAGAAGTCTGCAGTTCTCCAGCATGTTTCATTCTTTCACATATGTTGCCAATTCAAACTCAACAGCTTCTTTCAAATTATTCAAAGAACCAGGTCTTTTCCCATTCCACCATCTGACTCTAAAAAGCAGTATCTTTTGAAGGACTATCCAAAACATCCATAATTTCTAAATGAAAGCAGTCTTTCTGAGAAAACAAGATGCATTTCTTTTCAGCTTTTTACTTTAGGCTGCATCATCCTTTGCTATTCTATCGTATGATAAGAGTTGCCAACTGTAAGTCTCTGAGTCATTGATTCAGCAGTACCTGCATGAGAATGCGTCATCTGAGTCCACACGACTGGGCAGACAGGAGGAAGAAGGCATAGTCTGTACACCAGCTGTCAAGCAGTCAGCATAGCAGGATAACAGTATTTTCCCCCAGATCAGACTACTGACATGATCTGCCTGCATGGGGTGTTCCGGAGTTCTCACAGTGGACACTGCTGACATGCTGTTGAACCTCCTCCTAACGAGTACCAGTAGGCTCTGCCCATCACTATGGTTTCTCCTTGTCCTGTAGATCCTGCATCAATTGCTGCTTGTATTTGACAGGAACATGTCCTTCAGCAGCCCAGAAAGCAGCACATGGAGAATATATGACAGAACACACAAGGATATGACTCGAATCTTTACTTGGTCACTAAACAGTGGGGTGAGATAGGGAGTTTTCTCTCTCCTGTGAAGCAAAAGTCCCTGTCTCAAATTGCTGACTGTTACAATTAGCTGTCATTTGCTGCAGTCTGTGTTTGAATGCTGTGGTCCACGTTTCAGGTGGCTCTCCTGCTGCTGTGTGGGAGGCTGGCAGGAAAGAGAGCCCATCACAGTGCAGAAGGCCTCCTTCAAAGCTATGAAGTACTGACCAGCAAGAGGAGTCATTGCTGTCTGGCAGCCCTTAGGGGAGCGCAACTACAGCTATGTTCATGAACCTGCCCTACCTACAGAACCATCTCTATCGAGGACAGCATTTGCATGAAAGTCTGCCTCCACCATACCACAAGGAAGTGGCAGAGCAGGGAGCGGGTGCAAGAGAGAGTCTGGCTTGGTCAAAAGGTGTTAAAACCGATAGAGTGATCAAGATAAAATGGATGTGGGGAGTAAAGCTATCATTTATTGCTTCCTTAGGTGACATTTATCCTTCAACATTTTTCCAGAAACAAAATGAGGAAACAAAAAGTCATGTCCAATCCCTTGTGTTTCTCCAGGCATGATACCTGTCCGAGAAAACAGCTTTTCTGAACTCACACCCAGCAACTTTCATGACCTGATACAAATCTCTCAATCTTGGTTCCCTCTCATTCCAGTTAATGAGAATCTTAGCTTCTATCTCCCAAAACAGCAAGTTTCTAGTCCCACCTCGCTCACTGGGGCTGGAGGATGTTCAAAAAGGTGGACTGGTGAAGTTTAAAAAAGGCTAAAAAAATAAAAAAAAGTGGTCATCTTAAAAACATATAAGCAAATTATTTTAACCTTCTGTTTTGTTTTTAAACTGTGGGAGGGAAGCTTTTCCTTGGGATTGCTGGAAGGTGGAAACCGGTGAGCTGATACCTTGAACCAGGCTTCTGCAACAGACTATGGACTCACTGTTCAGCTCTGCTCCCAGCCAGAAAGCTGTGCCTGCAGAGCTAATGGAGTTCCTAAACTTGCACGTTTGCTGCCCCACAGGGATTAGGCCGATGCAAATGAGAAGGCAAACTACTCCCAGATTAATCTACGTGTCACTCAGCAGTAATCTAAACTCTGCAGTAAAAGGAACAATTCTAACTTTTACTCTGGAACAGCACAGGCATTATAAAAGGCAATGCACTCAGCTGGGATGCCTAAGAGAGCACAAGTGATTTTAACACCAAGGGCACACCTTTTCTCACAGTCATGTCTACCTTTTTGGCAGCAGAGAAAGATATGGAAAACTGCAGGGGGAAGAAACATTCTAGAATTGATATCCCAGTACTGGTATTCATTAATATTCTGAATAGCTTCTGCAATAGGTACTTCTTTCTTTTCAACCTAGGAGATACGAAAGCTTATTTCTAAACTGAATTCATTTGGTAAAGGCTAGATTAACCATCCTCATCAGCATATCATCATTTACTGCAAGCGTAGTCCCTTATTAGCCTTCCTGCCACATATCACCAAAAGTGTTCACAGTTAAGGACAACTACAGAAAAGCAAGGCGATAAGCAGAGCCTCAGGTTAGCGATGCCTACATGTGTGATTTGGCTAGGTTATTTTTGGTTTAGTTTACAGAAATAATCTATTTTACTTGTCTTCCCATGCATGCATCCCTACTGGTGGGGGAATATCCCAGGGTGAGATTTCTTGCATTATACGACTTTGTGAAGTAACAAACTGAGACTGCGGATGTTGAAAATGCAGCTTATTCTGAGTTCTTTTTAGCTTTGGGGGTTTTCTTCCTACACACCTTTCTTGCAATAGGAGAGCTGCTCTCTGCCTCGGTGCTTAGGACAGCCCAGAGGACCCCTCCCAGCCAGCCTGTGGAATCAGAGTACAAGCTTCTTGGCACATGTTTTGTTTCTGCTAAACTTAGAAGCCTCAGAAACAAAAGTAAAACCTGCTCTCTCAAAACATACATTCTTCTCTCAGTCCCCAGAAAACCATAGCCTTAGCTATTACAAGATGACTATCTGGCACTGAGAAAAGTAACCAAAAATTCAGTAAAGCTGGATTCTGAGAACATAAATGTTGGTGCAGAAGTCATTTCAGTCTGATTTATGGATATCAAGGCTGTGATCTAAATATATAGCCTGGATCATTTAGGGAAAAAAATAAAATCTGAAGGAGATAAATGACCTAATGCTCTATTCAAATCACAAAGTCACAAGGAAGAATAACACTTGAAATGATAAATAAAAAGCATTTGCTTAAAACTGAATGTTCAAAGAAAAGGCTGCCTCATTCTGTAGAAAAGCAAACACAGCTTAAGCTCACTAATTCACATATCATGAAACCTCACAGGCCTAATGCAGAAGCCTATGGCCTCTATCCTTCCTTCACTCAGTGAAGACTTAACAGCAGATTACTTGAGTGAGGTCTCATATTGCTGTAACCAAATTAATGACTGAAACTATTCACTGGTGTCATTGACCGCTCACACTGGGAAGTGATCACAGAAAGGCTTGCAAATCAAACACTGTTTCTGTGATGCTTACACTCACTTCGCAGTCCGCTGTCTCTCCTTTAAAGCGTAAAACACTAACAAGCCTGGAGCACATGTGTATACCTATAAAAAATGTTGCTTACTCATAAATCAGTAATATACTGTGGGTCACCACCAAACAGTGCAGATTCACTTTTCACCACAAGGTACAGGACTGCAGGGTCCCCTGTAGTTCTGAGTAAAGAGACGGGAGACACCAGCTCCTGGTGCAACTTCTAAGTTTCTTCCCACATGGAGTGGAAAAGAAAGCCTTCCACAATGGACCTGCTGACCACCTCTGCTCACCCAAGTCCTCGTCCAAAGCAGGGCCCTGCCACCGGCTGCCACCATGCACCCACCCGCTCCATCTCACCTGCTGTAGACCAGGCACTCCATGTGGTTGATCTCCTTATCGGAGCGGTAGCGGCTGTAATCCTCCCACAGATCCTTGATGGCAGTGACCGCCAAGATGAAGAGCACAGGGGCCAAGGCCAGCTCCGGTTGGAAGGCGTTGACAGCCGGCACGAAGTTGAGGAGTGCAATGAACACAAAGTAGACGTTGGCCAGCCGGTGGAACTGCTCAAAGAGGTTCTTGGGCAGGAAGGAGAGTGCTGTGTACTTGGTGGTCTTGAGGCGGTTGCAGGCCAGGACTGTGCCCTTGGACTTCTCCAGCTCAGCCTCAGGTAATAGCAAGTTGGAGCACACCAGCCGTGTCTTATTCTCCTTCTTCTTCCTCCGCCTCCTCTTCCTCTGTCTCTCCTTCCCCTCCGGCAGCACCTGGGGTGCTCCCGCTCCCCCTGTCGTGCCCTGGGACATAGCTGTCGCCCTCCCAGCCGCCTCGCCCCGGCAGCACGGCCAGCTTCCACGGCCAGGCACGGCCCTAAGTTATCATCATCCTCCGCCGCCCGCCACGGCTCTCCTTTCCACTTCCCCTCCGGGCGGGGAGGAAGAGGGCTCTTTCAAATCCCTCTCCCAACCGCTCTGCCGGGACCTCTCTCGCTTTCCCCTCCTCCCCGGCCGGGGAGGGGACGTGGGCCGGCGACTAGCGGAGCCCTCCTCCCGCGGGCCTCGCCCTGTCCCGTTGGCGGGCCGGCCCAGGGCGCGGGGATTGCAGCGGCCGCCGCCCCGGGGGACATGGCGGGGCGGGAGGGGGCCGGGGGCCGCGGTAGGGAAACGGGGCGCGGAGCCTCCACGCCAGCCCCAGCGGCCGCTCCGCCGGCCCGCCGCCCCTGGGTGACACGTTAGCGGCTGCCTTGACTCTCGGTTTTACACATGGGGACGGGGAGGATGAGGAGGTTTGGGTGCAGGAACTAAAACATTCCACTGAAGCGCTCCCGCTCTGCACCGGCCTTTATCCAAGGACCCCGACGAGCAGCGGCGGGCGGGATTTTTTGCGCTGACTTATTCTCCACTTTCTGAGTGAAAGCTTGTGCCACGAGTGCCGCTGTCTCTGTGCCTGGCACAGGCGATGCAGTGCGAGGTTTCCTGAGCCCCGAGCACATGCGTGCCGGATCAGTTAGTGCTCGGGACAACCCCGAAGGTGGCAACCGAAAGTGATGGGGTTTCTGATGGGAGGTGTTGGGCACTGCCAGCCCCACACACGGCCAGGCTGCGGTGTGCTGTAACGTGTGTTTGGGTCCATGTGGAATTTTCTATTCCCGTGTGGTAGGTCTTTCCAGCCAGGGATGGAAAATGCCTTCTCTCACTCTAGGGTGTGTGCGCCTCACTTTCTGGGGAGAGACAGTTGTGGGTGAAGACAGGAAATACAGAAAGATAGACCTGAAATACAGGAGAGAATAACCTAGTTTGAAAGACTTAGGCCAAAGTCACAAGCAAATGAATGTATACATACATTTAAAGAGCAAATAGTACAAAGTTTATTGATACTAAGCATGATATGAGTCTTTGCGACATCACTTTAAGTTAGGATTTAAAAGCAGACCCTTTGAATTTGGGATTCCTGAGGCAGCATAAAAGGCTGCCACAAGTCATTCCAGGCTGTGTCTAAACTGTAGCAGAGGTGTATTTTGTGATACATTGGTGCTTATGCTGTGATATCCCAAATTGGGGTCAATAGTAAGCCCCTGATGTGTGTCAGCATGTTTCTTCTTATCAAAGAAAACAGGCATAAAGTGTACATGTCTAGTCTTGATATGAGGTCAGGATAGGACTGGGGCATCTGTGGAGAGTACCTGGGTCTCATGATTCATATGCTACCATGACAAAATTCCTGAAAATCAAGAGGTGAAAGCCATTACCTCTGAGTCTCACAGCCTGTAGCCGTAACACAGTGCTGTGTCTTAATCTGCCTTTCCCCTATTTACTGTATGCTTGTTTTTAAAAGCGTGTAGATAATCATGAACCCCTTTCAGGGGCCCCGACACGTGGCCTGATATTGGCACTGTGTGAAGCCACAAACCCTTTCCAATCCTTCTGTCAACACTGATGCTGCTGCAAACTTCACAGGGATTTCCTGGGTTTCCCAGCTCTTGGAATATGGTTTTACTTTGTGCAAGAGAAAAAGTGAAGATTGGCCTGGGTTTCTTTGCTAAGTCTGCTACTTTATTGATAAGGGGAAAAGTACAAAAATGTTCTACCATACAGAAAAGGGAGACAAAAAAAGACTCTCAATTTATTTTTTTTGTGTGTGTGTGTTTGGTTTTTGCCTCATTAACCAGTTCCTGACTTGCTTGCATTTGAAGGGTAAGCTGGAATGAACAAAAATACTTTTCCTCTGCTTCAGAAATGCTGAAATGGGATAGAGAGGACATAGTATCATGGTGCAATGTTCCCAGAAACCAACCTTTACCCACCTGAGGGCTCCTTGCAGCCAGCAGAGAGCAGATTGCTGGACTTTCTGCCACTTTCCTGCTGGTCTCTGTGACCCACTGTTTTGAGGGGCTTTGGTTCACCCCTGGCCCCTAGGAGCTCAAGCACTGTTCAGGCTTCATCTTTTCTTTGGTTGACCCTGTAGCTTGTTTATGCAATGGTTGGTAGTTAGAGGAGAAGCAACAATAACCTTTGCTCTTTTCTGATGTCAAAGCATATCACCTCTCAGAGAAAACCATTTGTTCTTTATCAATGCCAGGTTACTCATGAATTGCACCTTGAGTGTGGCATGTCTGAGCAGAAAGATGGTGCAGACACCAGTGCTGCAGGGTAGTGTGAGCCAGTGCTGGGAGGGGGAGCAAGACACTTGCTGAGCCACTGAGAAACAGGAGAGCTCTCCACACTGGTGGCATTTAAGAAATCATGAATAGTTCAGGTTTTGCACTGCATATTGAGTAAACAGTAACTGACAGTGAAGTAAGGATTGGTATGCAGTAACACTAAACTTTCAGTCATGGTCCTCAAGACAAAGGCTCATGTAACCCTTAAGTTACTTGTTCAAGGAAAACACCTTTGTATCGACATCTTTGGAGAGCCTAACCTGGCATGAATTGTGCTTACACTTAGTGATGCTGGCTGAACCTGTGAGCTATTCCAAAATTGTCAGTTATAACCCACAACTATGAGAAATGGTCTGTAAGTAAGTGAGCTATATTTTTAAACCCATTTTACTTGCATTCTGCTTTGGAGTGCTCAGGGTTCACATTAAGAAGCACATTTCTTCCACAAAGGAGTAACAGGAAAGAACTTTAGTTTAAAGATATCAAACAGAAGCTGAAAGTTCTTATGTAATCCCCAGCTCACATAGCTGAGTTTTACAAATACATACAGAAGCAGAAAGATAACAAACAATTGGGTGGGAGCCTCTGAAGATTCCTGTGTTTGTTTGCTAAATCCTTAATTTCAAAACAGTTTAAAGCCTTTGTATTTGAACATGCCAGAGTCAAGGGCCAGCCTTGCAAAACTTCACTGTAAAAAAGAGTAGAAAGTATGAAATATCCTACTGGTCAACAGCGGAAATTCTCCTATCATCAGGGACTTTCTCTGTTGCCAGTAAACCATTTTTTATTAATATAGGAAAGCTCAAATATTCCAAGGCAGTGAAAGTTTTTCCACTGTCTATAATATCCTCTCAGTCACATAAGGAGTCCAAAGTCCTGGCTATTTATATTAAAACCTGAGGACATGTAATCCATGATAAATAAAAGCAAGAGTTGGCCTTATTTTTTAAAAAAAACTATAAAATCTAGTGTCTGACAGGCTTTGCTAGCCAAAGATTTCAGCAATTTAGACACTCCCAAGAATTTAGTCTTTCCCTTTCTAAGTAAAACTGTGCATGTAAGATTTGAGGAAGTGTAAATGTTTGTATCTGAACTCATATCTGAGCTCTCCCTGCCCACACAATCCAAGTATGTGAGGCTGCAAATAAGAGGCAGGCAGCGAATTAAACTTTCAGCTGGTAAAACTACACATGCACAAGTCTGGTCCTAGCTTTTGGATTGCTAAATGACAAGTATGTTGCTTCTATTGCTAACTGCAGTACACCTGTATTTGCTTTTTATGGGGCCTTCTAGAGGAAAGAACGTGCAAAGAGACTGGCTTTAAATCAGTCCAGATGGTGCATGGTCCCTAAGAAATATCACCCTCAAAAAATGTGAGGTAACTGGAAAAGCCTGAGGAGCCAAAAGTCAAGGATTAGATTTACTGGGTAACCTGAAATAAAATATGGGCCCTTTACTATTTTTCAGGGTCATTGAAGCAAAACACTAAAACTGGCGAACGTTTGAGGATTACTCTTTGCTCCAATGCAATCCATGCCATCCATTGATGTTTCCTTCCTGTACAGAGCTCTTCCATTGTTGTCACATTACTGCTTCTGATTATCCTCCATTTCACTGGTCAAAATGCTCTGCATTTTGCTGGGTGTCTGTTCTCTGATTTCTCCTGCCATTAACCAGAATCCAGACTCTGAAGCCCAGTAGCTTTTGAATTTCAGGCTCTTGCCAGAACCTTTCCCAGTGCCTGACTCTTTCCTTCAACTGCACAGATTTCCTTCAGTTCAAGGACTAAAGTTGAAGAGTAGTCGTTTTAAGCATCCGTTATGCTGATAATACGCATAATGAGCTCATCTTTGATAGTCTAGGCCATTAAAAGCGGAGTTGTTAGGTATGACACTGCTTTTAAGGCTACAGAGAACTGCAGAATTGCCCGACCCAAGATACTGTATTAACTTGGCCTTTTAGATGCCACATGCCCTACAGCTTGAAAGCATTATTGAGTTCTTATTATATGATCAGGCTGGTTGCTTAGAGATGAGATATCATTTTTTTCCTATTCCCAGAGTCATCAGCTCTGATTATATTTTAAGTCTTTTCTATGGTTTGGGGTTTTGTGGATATGTGAGAATCATAACATTGAACAAAAAATGCCTTTGGCCTGATGGTTGCATAGAACAGTTTGAAAATGGCCTCCACCTGAACCATAGGCAAGGAGAAAGGATCCCAAATATGTTACTGATACAACTAATGATTTGACTTGTAATGATTTTTAAATGCTTTGAGTTATCTTTATTCCGTTTTAACAATTAACTTCTTCCTGTCATCAGAAGGTGAAGCAAATCTAATTTTAACACATTGTCTAATTTACCAGGCCACTTTTGTAATATTTATATGATCCTAAAATAAAGATTTATCATGTTGGATGTTGCCAGAAACATCTATTAAATTATGCTCAATTCTCATAAAGAATCACCTTTGTTCCAGAGGACTTATTTTAATATTAATTGCTTAATATTGTGGAAGCAGCCAGAGGCCTCAGTCAGAGTCTGGGGCTTTAAGAACTATAAAAATAGCTATAAAGACATGGTAGCTCACATCAGACAAAATCTGTTCTGCCCTTTGCAGATGAGACATATCCCATCTGGCTCTCCGTAAAGGGGACAGGTTGTTTTGAACTAGCAGAAAAAAGGCAAGAGGCTTTGAGTGTGAACAGCCTGCTAAAAATGCTGGAATTGGATGAGGAGAGACAACAGTCAAAATGGTATAATTCCTCATTTTTTTCCATTCTGTGAGAGATACACAGATACACACAGTCACACACATGCACACACGGAGTCATATGTACCACAGGCAGCCTCCAAACTCAGTTCCTTAGCTTCTCCACAGCCAGAGGAGGAGGCTTCGTTCCCAAGATGAGCAGAAGCC